ATATAATAAAATTCGCCTCCGCAGCGACCGTCATCCTAAGAAAAATGTCAAGGATAATTTTTTCGTCATAATTTTTTAATGAAAGAAATTATGAAAATTTGTCCTCTCCCAATCACAACTTGTAAGCGCAAAAATGAAGCTCCCCCCCCACCCCTTCCTAAATGGACACAATGTTATTCCGAAACTACGCCTGCGCCATGGATCAATGAGAAAGAAGGCGAATTTCCTTAGCAATTGATGAAGATGGACGGTATAAGGTTCTTACGAGTATCTTGTCCTTCGATTTTAACGGCGTTAAAAATCGAAGGGGACCGGTTCTTAATCCATTCGACGGCGATGACGGAAGATTCATTCTCAGTGATGCTCATTATTACTCTTATCTGCTTATTTACAAGATATGGAGTCATAAAGATCCAGTCTTTGTCTTCTCACAATAATGCTGCGAGTTTTACGAAGGGATTAAACAACCTCGGAGCAGACGAACGAAGCACATTTTGCGATCTTGTTATCAGATACCATTTAGTCAAAAAACTCTCTTCTGATGAAAATGTCCGAAATGAGAAAAAGTTCCTAACCAGCTAGAGTCGACAAAAATCCGTTGGAAGTGTCCAAAAATCGGACGAAAGTGTCCGAAAACAGACGAGGGCGTCCGAAATCGGACGAAAGCTTTCGAAAACCGACGGAAAGGTCCGCAATCGGAAAGAGGCGTACACATGCAAAACCGTTCGAATTATATCAAACGAAAGCTTCCGGAATAGGATAGTCTGCTGTGCGAAATCAGAACGATATGTCTCACTTACTCACATTAGTCTTTTGTCGATGCTGTTATTATTTTCTGTCTAACCTTCTTTATGGATTCTCGGGAGGTTTTTTGATCAATTTTACCGGGAAGAAATTATTTTTGTCTCCATAAGTTTCTTAATTTTGAAATGTTTAAATTTTAATCAGCTTCCCGCCTCCCTGTGCGCCTCTTAACTACCACAAAACGACATTAGTACGAAAGGAAGAAAGGTTGTTGGTTCTGAGAGGTGAAACAACAACTCCGCACGTGCACCAGACTCTCACTTCTGTCATCACAGCAGATTTCCATGTTACATTCTCTATAGTAACGTTCTGTGAAGTACGCTAATTCACGACGATTCTCTCTCTGGAATAGGCATTTATTCCATTAAACGCTGGGAGAGTCCACCCGAAAGGTACTTATACTGAGTAAGTCGTGTGAAAGTTTTTAAGGATGGAACTGTACTTTTTTGGTGAAACTGTTTCTTTCGTCTTGTCTTGGTTACTGAAGTTCCTTGAGGAACATGAAAAGAGACGATAAAAGCGCTGGAGAATGTTTGCCTTAACCTAGGGAGTGGCCCAAACTGGAGCCTGGAGCGAGTGAGAATGGAGGAAGAAGACGGACACTGGTAACGAGGTGGCTGCAAGTGGAAGTTGATGTTAGCGCCCGCTGAAATTTTTTCATGAAAGAACTGTCTCCACCACCTTCGCCTTACCTTTTTGATTTTTTCCTCTTACATCGAAAGTAACATTATGCCCCATTCACACAAGCATATTAGGTTTAGGCAAACGAGGTTTAATTAAATAACAATCTGCAATAGAAACTGAAAAATTGAATTTTCATAGGGTTCAAACTATCAGTAACTTTCCTTTTCATTGCGCTAAATTTGAAGTAAAAATCACCAGTTTCATTCGGAAAAAATTAATTCAAACCGTGTTTGAAGAAAAGAAATCAGCCATAACACTTGTCTTAGCTTTGGTGTCAATCGGGTGTTAGTTCACAATATCTATGTCAGATAAGGTTATTACCGCCAGTACTTTAATTCTTTCCCAAGTGTATTAAATCTAGTAACGAGATAATTTGGTTTGTCGACTGAGAAATACAGTCAGCAAAAAAAAAAAAAGGTATTTTAAGCGGTAGCCTTTTGTCAGGGCGAATAGGAAAACTATTGTTTAATACTTAACCTATGTAACTAATAGAAAAGAGGCAATAACTCTAGATAATGTTGCCTCCTCGTCCCTGGGAGCTTTTTTGAGTCCATTGATATTCAAGAAAAAGTGAAACCCGATCGATTTCCGGGTCATACCTTTAATTTTCTTTAGGGGTAGGAGGTATAAGTGGAAGAGCCATGGAAGCATGCAGTAAAGGGGATGACAGACAGGAAGAATGGAAAGAATTGGAAAAGTCTCCTCAATTTCTTTTCACCTGTCTCACGCTGTACTTAAACAGAGTACTAGGAAAGAATAATTAGAGTTCAAAAAGAAAAACGAAAAAGACTGAGTTGCAATAAAGTAATCATTAAATAAGTTTATTTATTGACAGTTGCTTTATTCCAAGGGCTTAGATGTTCAACGTTAAGGGAGGAATGAAAACCTCTTACGGATCGAGTTCGAGGTCCGTACTGTAAGTTATGGATCGAGTATTTTCCGCTACGATTTAACGCCCAAGCGCAACGTTTCGTAATTTACAGCGTGGACCGAGAAAACGAGGATAGTAAAATATTTATTCTAAGTCTGGGTTAAAGTAGAGGGGGAAGATTTCAAATCAGACAAACTTTTGAATTTTGCCGGTCATACAGTAAATAAAACCCACTAAATTGCCCAGTGACAGTGCACTTACTAACTGAGAAATGTAAGATAACTTCCCATCAAATCAACCACCTTCATATGGTAGCCTTTCCACCACACTATGACCGTTTTCTCATCTTTGGCAGCTTTTTCGTCCACAGGGCCTGGGTTCCTTGGAATTTTTAGAAGATTAACCATTTTTAAGGTTTCAGAATTTCCTATTACAATGAACATAACTTTGTTTGACTTGGACCACAAATAGACAGGTTTTACCCCACAGGGCACAGGGCACAGGTCAAAGCCCCATCACTTTTTCAAGGACATAAGCATCAGCATTTTTACATCAGGGGGTCATAATTTGGATGTCTATCAAACATATTTGTCTTTAGCAATGTCGTCCATAATGTCTGTTGGTGAAAAGTCTTCCATCATCTCTTCCTCAACTTTTTCTAGTGACCATTCATGTTGGACAATCTCCAAGGCCTCCCACTCAGCCTGTGAAGAAACAAACAGAACCAAGTTATTTATCAATAAACAGTACTTCACTCTCAACAAAATAAAGTATAACTTGAAAATAATAAAACAAAAAAACCAAAATGATGCATTCAGGTTCGAATCTAGACTCTTTGACAGGGATTGGCCACCATAGAAAGATTCTGGGTTACGTTTTGACTGTTAGCCCTTGATTAGGGTAAATCCAAGTGGAGTGGATAAACTCTGATTAGCTCTAAGAAACTCTTTTCTAGTGGTCAATTTACTTTATCAACCCAGCTGATAAAACCAAATTATCCTGTAATACCCTCCTCCCCCGACACAGCACCAGAGTTTCTTTAGAAAGTTAACCCATTTATCTTTTAGTCTTGTGTGTTAACCATTTTAGCCAACATACTTGTAAACGTATCTCCCTCAATCATAACCATTACAATTCCCAAGTGTGATTGGTGCATCAGCTGCTTTATATTTCACTAATCACTCTGTACAGTTGTAATCGGACAGTGTAATTGGACAGTTGGCTGTAATTGGACACCTGTAATCAGACAGTTGAAGCAGCCAATCATACTAAGTCCACTCAGCTAAATCCACCAATCACAGAATTGATCACAATAACAATAGCAACAACCACTTACCCTGAAAAGTAAACTGGGAAATTTCTAAATTTTTTACTTTAGACATTGTCCCTACTGGAGATGTTTGTCCTTAATGTATTTTTTCATTTGGAAATTGTAATGGTTATGATTAATTGGTAAAAGGAATTCATATTGTCCAATTTGGTCTGTAATCACACTTGTGATTCACAAATCAGACTCCCGCTTTGCGGCCATCCAATTTTGTCAATCACTTGTATGATTATAGACCAAATTGGACTCCACTCAGTCCTATTACCATTATAAATTGCATATAGGAAGTGGTTCTATCACTAAAGATGATAAAATACTGTACTTATGATAAATGAGTAGTTATTTCCAACCTTAAATGCCTTGCTTGGGTCTTGTGGCATCTGCATTTGCATCTGCATCTGTTCCTGCATGACACGAGTCTGGTCTGCAGCTAAAAGTGGATTTCAAGATAAGAGACACACAAAAGCGAATTTGAGGTCTCTTTCATATGTTGAGAGTATGGTAAATGCGACATACAATTGCCAAGTCTAAATCACTTACAATGGAAGGGTAATTCCATGATTGGCCAGTCAGTATAAATATCATTCAGATCAGATATAACTACTGTATCAGGCACTTCATCAGTATCAGTAAACTCAAATTACTTGTGAGATCTGAGGGTGAAAGGGTCATCTCTTGTCAAAGTTAGTTTAATTAACCTCTTATTGGTAAAATTGAAAAAAAAAAATTAAAAAAAAGAAGACAAACCATTATCTTGACCCAGTACAAGTGCATACATGCTCCTGAGACCAAACACGTTGATGAAATACCAGGACACAGAACTAACCCTAAAATGCAAGAGTAAGACAAGTGAATTTTTTTTCGCAAGCACATTGTACCTTGTTTCCTTAATTTCAATATACAGACAGAAATTGCACAAACTGAGCTCAATGAAAGCATAGAGGAATCAAAACAAAACAGTTAAAATCCAGATGTATTTCTTTTGTCAGTGTTGGTTTAAGGCACCCAGCATAAGAAAAACCTTTTAATATTGCAATACTTTTGTGGGACACAAGATTTGTTAATAAAGTATGGGACTTACTTTAGTTGGTTAACTTAGACATCAGGGTAAAACTAAACATTAAAGCAAATTGACAAGAAGTGGCATGATACTGTTCAATTGCATACACAGATCAGAGAATTATACTTGACTGGGTCTAAATACATGCAAGTTGTTAATTCATGGATAACTTACCAAGATGCATCCAAGGTTGTGAGATCAATGCCACGCTGTAACATGGCTTTGAATCGCAATGTTAGTGGAAATGGTACTTTTGCTGCAAGGTGGAAAAAACAGATTGTTCTTAATTTTTTACCCCTACAGCTAATCATGAAGCAAATCCTAACACTGGAGGTTACCACAAATTATAAAAGTATGACACCATTACATGGCATGTTTAGTTTTAAAAATTGACTAGATAATCAGACATGTTCTTCTCTCTCCCCTTCTCTCTGAGCAAAAATGAAAAATAAATAAATAGAGCTCTGATGTGTGCTTAGGCAATATATTTAGTCTGCTAAAAGTCTCTTGGCCCAGGAGTGTGCCCTTGGCTTCAGCAACAAACGTTTAAATAAAGGAGAAGTGTTAACTTACTTGTAATGAAACCAGAGTAATGCCAGTTGATCCAGCCTCCAATGAGGATCATTGGTAAAACATTTGTAATGTTTCCTTTGGCCATGTCCACCATCATTGTTGGATCTGGTGAAAAAGAGAAAAAGATGAAAGTGTAGTAAATGTATTATGTTTTAATGAATGTTATCATGTTTGTATCAATTGCAATTAAAGATTGAGATGTGTGAATCAGCTATGTTTGGACACTTCAGGGTCAAATCCAGGGCAAATTGGATTTGGTTTCAGGGTTGGTAAGAGCCAGTTTTTTGAGTTTGCCTTGAAAAACTGGTTAGGAAGCCTGAGCTAGCATGATATCCCAAAACTCCCCATTCCCCTAACAAAAGAATTGACATACATAAAACTACCAAGCCTGTAATTGTATGAACCTTCACTAACCTGAAATTGGATTCTTGACTGGTCCTTTCCTATCCTGTGTTTTAAAATACCCTTCTGTCTCGTCATTGAAGAAATGTCGTCTGGCCTCAAAACTCTATCATGTTGAAAATGTTATTTATGAGGATGGACAAAATTATACGTTCGCGAATATATTATATCTATGGAACAAAACATCCATATATGAACTTTTGTATCACATACCTCTTCAGGGAGATATTTTCCATTTTCTCTAAGATTTCTGCTCCTCATCAAAGCTTGACTGAAAAATTTAAACATCGAGGGAAACGCTTCATGATCACCGATATGCAATAGTAATTAATGTAATTAAGTTGCCGTTTGCGAGCAGGCATGAGAGACTTTGGAGAAAATAACTCAGTAAGCCAGACGGTATCTTCTTTAACGCCGATTGTTATTATAAATAGTTAATATAAATTAATTGCTATTATAAATAGCAACAACTACCAAGGGCTAGAAGCGCAATTTTGTTACTAACTTTGCGAAAAGTTCACTATAGCACGGTGGCGCAGCTACCTGCATCTCAGTTCGAGTTTTTTCGTCCTCACATCTTACCTGTCGGAGACTTGTAACAAATCTAAATCTTTCCTTGACTGTAGAAGCATAGACAGATAATGCCTGATTATTCCGACAAGAAACGTTATTATTACAATGGGCAAAATAACCCACAAACGGATAGCCGGATCGAGCAGCAACTCCGCCATGATGAAAGACGGGCGTCTACAAGGGCTTCTGGGTAATATCACATGACAGAGAAAACGGGGCATAGAGAAGGGTTGTTACACAAAGTAATACGTAGAAGTGAACAGTTCCTTTCTTTCCTTTACATCTTGTTGGGTTTTTCCGGACGATAACTGAGCATCGATTTTTTTTTGTCCGTGTATTTATAGGCCAGGATACGCTTTGAGGCTATATGTAAGTGTTGCTCTCAGAAATTGCAAGGACCTGTCGATTTTAGAAGCATTGACACAATTTGCATACGGCCCGCTGAAGCCGCGGGTCGCGCGGTTCGAACTTTTAAAACCGCTCGAGCCATCTAGCACCGCGAGTCAAAGGATGCGGAAGTTGATATTTCACACTTGATCCTCTCTGCGATTTGACAAATGGATTCAGCAAACCAGGTGAGTTGTTTTATCGCTGTTTTGTCGGTAAACATCCAATACGCGAGGAATCTGGGAATACAATATTTTAACCTACGCAAACGTACGAAAGTTTGATCCAATATTGAATGTTAAATTATTCCCGTTGTTTTTGCTTTAAGGAAGCGGCTATTAAGGTGTTAGTTTGGGTTTATCTTTTATACGTAGATTCTGATGATAATGGAGTGCTCCACGGGCGAAATTTACGGTGAAATTTTGTTTTTTAGAATTTTCATATTTTATAATTGAACTTACATTTTGGGGCTACTTTGAATTCATAAAAAGTATGATGAGTGGCTGCGATATGATAACTGATTTATTGATCCAGAGTATGTTGGGCGTTGTTGCGCTCAGTCCGCACACCTTTACCTGAAGCCAGATATTTCCTTAACTGGACCTCCTATTCAGTCAATGAGTATGTAATAAAACCAAATTCATGCTACTGAATTCTAAAGCAATGTGCAGCAGCTAGGGGAGAGAAATAAAAAAAAGGATAGTTTAAGGGTTGACTGGGCAGGGAGAAATCATATTCTGATTAATTCACAACTGAGTGTTTCTGAAAATTCCTAGTTAAATGACTTAAACGACTTCTATCCTTTAGAAGGGAAAGATTTCTTGTAAGTCTCTCTTGTGGTTGATAGCTCTACCCAGGATGACCTTGACAAAACCTATTTGAAACCTCTGGCAAGCTCTGTATTCTTTCCCATAAATGCTGAGGATACTTTCATGCATTGTAGTTTATACAACAACCCCTCCTGTTACTGGACAAATCCAGAATGCCATTCATGACAATTACTTTGCAGTGCATTGTTTACAATGCCATATTTAAATGTTTGTCTTGTTGTTACATATAACTTGTTACATTATTTAAATCTACATTCCAAAATTGCTGGCTAGGCAATCTCCCTTCAGTGGCTATCTATTGCTTACACCTCTGGTGGCTGCTTGCAAGAACCATTCTAGTTAGCTGCAAGAGCAATGTCCTCTCACAAGGGCTTTCACTTTGTTAACCCTTTAGGTGACTGGTAGTTAACTCCCAATATCACCCATATCACTCATTAAGGTCAAAAAAACAATATAAATGACTACCAAATAAAGAAGCTCTTGATTGTTAGACAAATTCTCCCTGTCAACACCATAGGAAATCCACAGAGAACAGTATGGAGAATATGCTTACTGATGTTTAAGTGTAAAGGGCTAAGCATCTTGGCTGATTTAAATGATCACCAAATAAAGGAGCTCTCGATTGTTAGAAAAATTCTCCCTGTCAACACCATAGGAAATCTACAGAGAACAGTATGGAGAATATGCTTACTGATGTTCAAGTGTAAAGGGCTAAACATCTTGGCTGATTTTTTATTGATTGTGATTTTTCTTTTTAAGGTTCTGAACCTTAATGACTATGATAAACTGTACCTGTTGATGTGCAAATGGAGAATTATTCGGCTTTTCAACCCGTTATGTTATGCTGCTGATGTAACAAGTGTTGAAGACCTTGAAAAGAAAGTGAGGGCAAACCTGGATGATATAAAACAAAAACTGCCAGCATGGTCACAATCTCAGTCTTTTAGGGAAGATTTAGAAACTATTAAAAACTTGATTGAAGATTCAAAGACTGTGAGATATGAAAATTTGCCATCACTTCTGGTGAGTTGAATTGTTATCTTAGTTTATAATTAACCAACTGCTTGATTAGCCCAAGAGCAGGCCCTTTTATCAGCACTGCTGCACCGTAATTTCTCTACCAAAAAGTAAGATTAGGTAAGGATTCTGGCACTAATTAGTGCCAGATCACCAACAGACCACTTGCTGGCTATTGTTTTTGAGGTCTCAAACCTATTTGTTGGTGAAAATATACTTGTTTTGGAACCTTTGAAAATGAGAGTCTTTGCAGGCTACCTGTTTAATTTGCTCATTCAAGATATTGTACCTGAAAGAGTTATTTTTGCTGGTGAAGTTCCCTTCTAGTGATCTAATACTGCTACATACTAAGAAACTTGAACCACAATAGATTGAAGTATACTAAGGAAGGAACTCAATTTGAATTATTTGTCAACCGAATGAAACTATTTCCTAGGGTATTGAAAGAAATAACTATAAAGAGGAATTAGGAGATGCAGGAGTCCAGATGATACAAAAGAAACAGCTATTTTTACGAAAAAAAATAGCACTTGGTCGTCCATATTCTGGTGATGTTTACAATGCCCAGTGGATGCAAGGTCATAACATGGTATGTTGATTTTGGTATAGTCCAGAATTACTCTGATTAACAGCAACAGGAAAAGTCTGCACTCAAGCCCATTGACTCACCCAGCTGGAGCTTGCCCTGGTTTCCAAGTAGCATGAAGCAACTAGGAGTGTTGCTACTCCCCCTGGATAGGATGCTAGTCCATCACAAAGTTACCCCTCTCCTCCTCAGCATTTCATCAGGCTTCCCTGACAATTTACCACTACCTATTTATTCTCCTGGGTAGAGAGAGGTACTGTGAGAGTGAACACACAACACATCAACCCAGTCTTGAATGCGAGCCTCTACCCAGAGTCAGCTTGAAACATCAGTTTTGAAACTGACTTTACAATGGCCAACCTATGTTTACTCATCAACTCAGTTGATTATACTAAATTACACTGTTATACTCTCCCATTGACTCAGCACCACAATTTATTTGGTACACTTTGAGTCATAAGGTCATCGAGTCAGTTAATCATGTATTTCCAACAAGTGATTAGCATCAGTGGCTTGTCTGAAAACTTTTTCAAACATTTTCCTGTAAATATGTGATGAGATGAGGGCAGACAAACTTAGACACTTGAGCACAAATTCCTGTATTCTTTTCATCAGGTTGATGTTGTTGTACGGTTTGACTTGGGCCCAACACAGCGAGAGTTGTTCATTAGAGAAGCTAAAATAATGACAGGTCTCCATCACGACTATATCATGAAGTTTTATGGTGCTGTTATTTTGGGCTCGTATACAGACTCTGTGGGATTGGTACAGTATATATTTTTTATTTTCAATTGTCATTTTCTGCTGGCTAAATTCTTGAAGTCTCTTAATCAGTGTGACAGCTTACAGTAAGTTATTTTGAATTATTCATTACACACATAATGCAGTCAAGTTAGGTTAACAGATGGTAATTTATTTCACCTCTTTAAGATGTACCAATAATAACATTCTCCTGTTTTTTATTACTGTGCAAGGTGGTTGAATTTTTCAACAAAGGTCATTTGGAGGAGTTTCGTGTTCCATCTCTCTTCCATGCCTGGCTCTATGCATCACAGCTCTCTTCAGCTCTGGAATATTTGGAGTCCAAACATCTTGTACATACATCTGTATCAGAACCTTTTGTTTACATCTCATCTCTTGAAAAGGTAATGTCTACACCATTCTATTATTTAAAAAAATTGATGATCTTCCTCCTTCTAACTGGTGATGGTAAATGGAAATTTGCTCTTCTAAAATGCTCTCAGGAGTAAACTACAGTTGGGAGTCTATATCTTTCTCCTCAGAGCTTCTGAAGATTTCTTTTTGTTGAATTTGGAAATTTAAAAAGTTAGGTGTTGTTTTGTCACACCCTATCTCTTTTGAAGATTAAAACTTGTAATTCATTGTAACTCTTCTAATCCTTCCTTGTGTCCTTTGTCTTGCCTCTTTTTCATTCTCCTCTATTCTGAGCCTTCTCTTCTCCTTTTATGTCGTTCTTTCTCCCATCTCAATTGTCTTACCTCTTGTCTCCTTTCTCTTTTCTCCATCTTTCCTTCTTCATCTTCTCTGTCCTACATTTACCTTTCCAAACCCTCCCTGCTCTTTCTGGTCTCCTCGTCTTTTAACCCTCTAACTCCCATTAATGACCACAACAGAATTTCTCCTTACAATATCAATACAATATCAACCAGATAAGT